TAGGTTATTTTGTGTAATACAACAATAAAACGATGCTTGTGATGGTCTGAGTCATATTGTTGCTTGCCTTTGTAGTTATATTTCAAGGATGTCTTTTTACTGTGGCGTAAATGTAAAGTTCTAGGGTAAGTTAGAAAGTGCTAGGGTAACTAAGAAAGTGATCCGAATCTTCGCGCTGCACGGCTCAGCAGTGAGTTGGCTGTCCTTCCCTTTTGAAAACGAAATTCGCTATCTCTGAGAATCGCTTTCCATTGACCGTAGCCGTATCGCTCAATGCCTGCTTTAAGATAATTGTCTTCTTCGGGGGTGAACATCAGACTCTTTTTTCTCGCCGGGAAACGTGACACTACAAACGCATTTTCCCGCTTTAGTCTCGGGACACCTGAAAGACGCTCGGGTGGTGTCGTTTCTCCCTCGTCGTTAGAGGAAGTATCAGTTTTGCTACCATTTCGATCTTCAGAAGACGCAGAATCGCCTGAAAGCCTCGAGCGCACGTCTATTTCAAGCTCTGACCCTTTGTCTCCATGCAACCTTTCCAAATATTCATGTGCTTTACTTGCCACCTCGCGCGATCGCTGCTTCTGATAGTGAACCCTTGCAACAACAGAGCTATGGTCCTCAGAGATTGTGCTCTATCTCAGCTTTCTAGAATCGCGGTCTCCACTATCTGTCGATAGCGAGTCGGGTGAACGTACTTTCGGTTGCATCAAAGACCAGTTTACTCATTAGCCCTCCCAGTTTTTGGTGCTGCCCTCCATTTCTTGTGACCAATACAAAGTCGCAGGTCGGTCTGAGTAGGGGGCGAATGTGGTTGATGTAGCCATCCAACACTTGCATGCTCGTCTCAGTCAGGTAAAGAGAATCGAAGCCATATTTGCCAGCCGTTTTGAACATTTTCTGGTCTACAAATCCACCGTTAGTCTTGGCTTTGTTCACCATTTCCACTGTTAAATACTGATATGTCATGGGGCGCGAGCCCTTGACCTTGATAAATAAATAGACGGCCACAAATTTGGTAGCAAAAGATAAATCTATTGGCAAAACAGCACCAGGTTTCTCTTTGCATGATTTCAGCACGCTCTCGTAGCGCGGAAGGTAGCGACCCACGACTTCCAACAGTTCTTCTAGTGTGGCCCAGTGCCCCTTGGCCTCTAAGGCATCGATGTCGAGCTCGCTGGTCCACTGCAAGCGCATCATTTTGGAAACGGTTTTGCGCACCTTTTTCAAGTAAATTTCTGTTGAAGCCAGCCCTCTCAACACTGATTCCGATGCTCCATTCACTTTTCGATAATCCACCAATTCTGCAATGGCATCCAAGTAGCCTATGCGTCCCGCGTGTCCCAGATTCCAATCATCCTGCATGGTATCAACAAACTTGAAAAGGAGATTCGGTGAACATAAACTAAAGTCCACAATGTCAAATGTGAGCTCCTCTTCGTCTTCACAACAAAATTTGAGAAACTTTAAGCACTTGCTCACGATCTGTTGTGCTTGTCGATCACTTTTACAGCCCCCACCGCTGCCAGTGAGCCACGAAAAAAAGTTCTTGGCAATTTTGTTCGTAGAATCAAAAGAGGCAATTGCCCTGCTTTTACGTGGCGTAATCTTCTGATCACTGGCTTCACATTTGTCGGTTTCATCCACATTAAGCGTATCGATTTGCGCACTGTCTGGCTTCTCGTCGAAGTAATAGTACCAACTGTGTTTGCTCTTTACGTGTTTTCTACAGCCTCTTTGCGTAGTGAATCCATCGTGGTTACAAATTTGCACTGGGCAGTGAAAAAGACCATCAGAGTCATCCTCTTCTAAGTGAAGTCTCTTTGGTTTAGGCGATGCATTTGCTAACTTTGACCAGTCGACATCCTTGCCTCGTTTGTTCATCTTAAGCATTAGCTTGAAATCGATATTTTTCTAAAGTATGCATGTTTTTATACTAGCAAAAGGGTCCCCAAGAGATCATCCTTTTCGCCAATGAGATATTTGTTAGCCCATCTCTGCCCACACTTGGTCATTCTTGCCCCTTGTCCCATTGTTTTCTTGTCCGTATTTGGTACACAATTAATCAAAAGGAACAAAGACACAAGCCTGAACTTGCGCGGGCAAGCCCAAACGAGATTAAGCATGCAAAGGGCAAGTCTCGTACTTAACTTGATTGTTGACGGAAACATGTTTTGATAAATTTGTATAGCGGAGGTGATGGACAGTAGTTTCAGATAGCCTACGATAAATAAGAACTATTGTTCCCTATTCCTTTTTACACTTTGCGCAAAATGGAACGCTAGTTCCTTTGTCACAAATTCGGAACCTGTTCCCATTTATTAGCGGAACATAACACTCATCTTGAGGAACAAAAACCACCTCGATTAGGAACAATTCCGTTCCTGTTGGGCATGAATAGGAACAATTTGAACCGAAAGGGAACAAGGCGTTCCGAACAGCAGTGGATATGCCAGTAAATAGGAACAATTTGTTCCTTACTGTGTAGAGCAAGAAATTAGATTGGGAACATTTGTTCCCCAGTCACTTCGAAAGGAACATGAAGGGAAATCGGAACTGTTGAAAGAGGACCTTTTGTTCCTGAAAAGATAAAAGAGGAACCAGTTGTTCCTTTTGACTAAAACGAAAAGGAACTTTGTGTTCCAATTTGCTGCTAACGGACCAGATTGTTCCGAAATTTGCCGACCTTTGTTCCTCTTGTGCAAATAAAGTTCCTTTATTGTGCGTTCCTAGGTTGTTCCTAAAGCAATTAAAAGAACAAAAAGCAAACGCGCGGAACACTACGTTTTTGAAAAATCGATGTTTCCTCGTGTCGCGTCACTTAAAATCAAACTTTGAAAGTTTCCTCATGTAAAAAACGGCCTGACAATACTAAGGACAAAAATACAATTGAAAACTACGGTGTTTTAACCTGAAATGTTGCTATCATTACTTTTGGGGAATGTATATGATCGTTTCCCAAAAATTCAGTTCCCTTTTTTTGAAGCCTTAAAATAATACTAAGTACTGCGAAGATCTTTCTAAAACTACATCTCTTAGTAGTTTTATGCAGGAAAAAGCTAAAAAGCACACTCTCAGTTCTTTTGCTAAGAACTACAAATATATCTGGATGTTTTTCCGCGAAAGCGTTCCTTGTGAGAGGAACGGCCATTGAAAAGAACGCTTGTTCCTATACTGTGTGAAGATATGTTAGCCGTAAAGGCTTTCCCAAAATTTAGTTCCTTCTTTGTCAGTGATGACAAAGATGCTTAACGCCAAAAAAAAAACCGCTTTATAGTGAATTCTGTTGGTAGGTAGTCGCTCTCCCATTACTCCCGTCAAATCCGTCTTTCCCGTCTTTGACAAGAAGTTTCGGAAGCTAACATAAGTTAACATAACGTAAGTTCCTTCCGTGTAAACTTTTTAAATTTATCGGGAAAGACGGATTTAACGAGGATTGAATGTTTAATGACATATAATATTGGGATATGAATGTTTAATGATATATCATATTGTAAACTGCTCTTGAATACTGTAAGTAAATTCTTAGCAACATTTATTAAATATACCTTTAATATGTACTTACAGTTTTAAAGAGAAGTATATGATTAACTATTTCATTAAAAATTCATATCCCCGTCAAACCCGTCGAATCCATCTTTCTCGTCCTTGTTTGAGAAGATGTTTCGTAAGCTAATATATTACAACTAATCCACTTAACAGCACTGTAAGTGTTCTCCAATGTAAACTTCTGAAATTCAACGGGAAAGACGGATTTCACGGATTTAGCGGGGATTAGATCGACCTTTCCCGTCCTTGTTTGACAAGATGTTTGCGGTAAAAGAAATGTATTACATTTTATCAGTTTGAGCACCTGTTGTTCAGACCTACGTTTCAGGAAACTCGGAATAGCACAAAGTACATGACAATCGTTTACAACTCAAATCTGTTTCATTTGTTTTTCTATCAACAATAAGCAAGCCTTACAAAAGTATGAATGGTTTAATTAAGTAAGTTTTCAAACATTAGTTTCCCATGTCCAATTTTGAGCACTTTTTTTTTGCAAAATTCAGTTGTTCTCATCAGGGAAGTTTCGAGTTACGCAGAAGAATGCAGCATTACGTCACTTTGTAGTAACCATTTTGTGTTGCAATTATCACTAGTTTCTGTCCACTTGTTTTCCCTTAAAAACCTATGAACCTTGGGGGCAAAAACTGTGAGAAAACTGCGCAATTATCACAATTTCAAAATTATCGCCAACGTTCTTTACAACGTTAACGAGTAAAATCTGTTCCCTTTGTGTTTCTCTCAGTGATAAGACAAAGCCGCCTATCAATAGTATGAATGTTAAAACCACGTAAGGTTTGGAACAATAATTTTCCATGCCCAATTAACAGCACTCTTTACAAAACTTAGTTGGTTTCACCAGATACGTTTCGAGTAACACAGAAGAACGCAGAATTACGTAACTCTGAAGTAACCGTTTTGTGTTGCAATTATCGCTAGTTTCTGTCCACTTGTTTTCCCTTAAAAACCTATCAACCCTAGGGACAACAACTGCGAGAAAACTGCGACATAAATTCTACAATAATGGCCAGGTTTGCTTGCAATTAGCCGACCATTATGGTTGAAACTGTAACAGTGTCAAAAACAGCGAGTGACATTTCTTCATATTTATTCTTATCAATTTCACAAGTCGAAGACAGATATATAAGCAGCCGTTTGAGCCTCATTTATCGCTGCACATTTGACGAAGATGCGTCGAGCCACAGGACCGTGCAAACAACTTAACAGCGAGGGGATAAAAGGAGCAACGTTGGGTTACATGAGTCCCGTAATCGCCGGCCAATGTAGCATTGTGAGCGCGAAATGTGTCTGAAACGTAAGCGAAAAGGAGCTTCCCAAATCGTGGAACAACATCTGCAAAAAGCGAGATTTGTGTGACAGAGCCCTTTCAGGTTAGCTTTCATCAAATTTCATGCTAATTATTGGTTGCCAAAAAAAATTAAAACGAATCTTGTCTATTTTCAGGTATTCCGAATGCAGCCTTTTTTTTCAGTGCGATATCTACACACGAGAAAAAGAAGGGAAACGTACAAGAGGAAAGCGAGGAAAGCGAAGAAGAACCCGAACCAAGTCCTGTGCCAAGCACGTCTTCCCAACAATGGCTTGATGGCAGTCGAACTCGTGTCAATAAATTGCTTTGGCCATCGCTGACCTATTGGATTGCACTCACGTCACTCAATGGCGCCCCCGCAAATCCCTTGGTGGTTCATTGGACCCTGCTCGAGTGTGGAATGGGTGTCACAGCAAAACAGGTATGGGACGTATTCTTGGCAAGTTAAGCTTACTAATAGATACTTTTATAATTGAGCAGATTTATTCCGTACAACTTATGTAATACCTTACAGCTGATAGAAAGATCAGAGTCAAGCTGTTACGGGAATGAGTTACGAATTATACGACATAGTTAGCGATGACAATTCCAAAAAAAATCTGTTCACTAAATTTGAGTTTCTACTTTACCAGGTGCAATTTCAAGATGGAAAGAGTGTATTGCCATTCGAGAACTGTACAATCTACTCAAAGACCATAAAAATCCCTATATGCAAGACCTCGTGACAGCATCATACGAGCACAATTATCGCGAGGAATTATCAAGCTTACTCGCAACATCGCAACCACAAGAATTGGAAGGCTGTGGGACAGAAAATGTCGTTCGTGTCACTATCGTGAAGCCAAGTTTTCAACAGCCATTATCAAACGCTCTGGAAAAGATCATGGAAGCTAAGCTACAAATTGACAAGTTTGGCTTTACACGCGACACGACGCTGCCGGTTTCTGAACGCGAAGAGAAACATTTATCAGATAAACTCACGATTCTCGTCAACGACATCACCATCGCAATGCAAAAGTTACAATACGCCAGCTATCGAGGCAAAGTGTACAAGTTTGTTTTTTTCCGATACAAGGGCTCATACACCATGGCAACATCGCCACCGTCATGAAGCAACGGGCGTTCAATAAGGCCATGATCACCCCATTTACAGAAGTCATTTTCATCGATGAGGCAGACGAGAAAACACTCGACGTCGCTGACTGGAAAATCTTACCGCAAGGAGGATATACCGCTCACGACGTTAAGTATCAGACGGCTAAAGCATTCCTTAACAAGTGCCCGATGTTAGTGACCGGCAAGAGCGTAAAGCTTGATTTCGGTCCCGCCGACCAGCCAGCAATGGATAGACGTCTGCGCACGTATCAGTTCAAGAGCCTCCCGAATCCCAGACGAAAGGCGGCAGCGTGGCTCAAAAAGCACGCCATGGAATGCGTTGTTTGGGCTGCTGAAAAGGCAAAAACATGTGACGACGACAGCGAGGACGAAACCGATACCGAGAGCGACGATGACAACGACGTAGATGACGAGGAAGGTCTTTTGAAGGAGACGGAAAAGGAAGCACTTAGGTCGCTGTCACTTGCGAGTCCCCTGGCCACTGGCGAGATTAACATTGCACTTTCGACAGACGAAGAAGAGGACAATTCCGATGAAGATGGCGTAAGTGGCACCTCGATAGACCGCCTCGATTTGTTGAGGGAAGCCGTAAGCAGATCGCACCCAGAGAGTCTACGACACAGGCAAGTGCAGCAGATGCTGATGGAGGAGGAGAGGAAACGAGCCGAGGAAGAGAAGAGAAAACGACAGCAGCACCTGAGGCGAAAATCCATGCTGAGGAAGAACGGAGTGAGCACCCAGAATGCAGAGTTGCTTCCGTTAGACCCGGGCGAGGAGATGCCCACTCCAATTGTTCTTGATCTCGAAGAGAATCGAAGAGCACAGAGAGAACACCTGGTACAGCAGCGCCGCGAGAAGGCACGTTTAGTCTTCGCTGGTTCTTGGCTGCGTTGCACGGAGAAGGAACTTGACGAGTGTGTAGAAAAGTACAGTCGTACAGACGATCCATACATGCGGGTAGCCTGATGGCGTACCAGGTCCTATCCGACAAGCTGAAGCTCCACCATCAGAATCTTGGGACCTTCAACACGGAGGAAGCGGTGGCGGAACGTGGGAGAGTCTGCGTGGAGCTGGGAATACCGCTTGTGAAGCAGACCAGCTCATGGTAAAAATGTGACGGAACCCTTGCCAAGACCGACAGAAGAGCAAGGTGTGGCAGAAGCCGAAGCGGGTACCGAGGACGACAGCGCCGATGAGGTATTTACCCAGGTTCCTAGCTGGCAGACGAACCACTTAGAGTTTTTTGAGGACCTGTCAGGGCGAGCAGCAACTCCAGAAAGGGACGAAAAGAGGGCAAGAAAACAGGAAGGGCGAGTTCGTGCAAAGAGCCAGAAGGACAGGGGCTGCAGCAACAGTGAGAACACAATCCTCAAGTACTTTTCCAGCCAGAAGTAGGTCTGCGCTCAGAGTGGACGAGAACAGAACATTGTATTTTGCATTATTGCCCTTTATTCGTAGGTCCTTCAGTTTAACTCGAGTTAAGCCTATCGTCAGTTAGGTGTCCTACGTGCTCACGATCAACTGCCTGTGCAAGATGATTCATTTGTTCGTGATCAAGTCCAAATAAAAATTGTTTGTGCTTAAACATGTGTTGTTTTACGATCACTACTAGCTTTTAAGTGTCGCCCGAACGCATTTTTGTCCCGTTTTACAACTTTCAAACTATTCCACTTAGAATTGCGGTTTAAAAAACGTGGTCTTAGTCCATTGCGTTTGTCCAGTCGAGGAAAACTTCCGAGGGGGGGCCCTCTTAAGTTTCGTGTTATGACCTACCTACAGTTTAGTGTTATGGTGCCCTTCGCAAAATGTAAAGTTCTAGGATAACTTAGAAAGTGATCCAAATCTTCGCTCTGCACGGCTTAGCAGGGAGTTGGCTGTCCTTCCCTCTTGAAAACGATATTCGGGATCCCTGAGAATCGCTTTCCATTGACCGTAGCCGTGTTGCTCGATGCCTGCTTTTAGATGATTGTCTTCTTCAGGGGTGAACATCAGACTCTTTTTTCTCGCCGGGAAATCTGTTGCTATAAACGCATTTCCCCGCTTTAGTCTCGGGACACCTGAAAGACGCTCGGGTGGTGTCGTTTCTCCCTCGTCGTTAGAGGAAGTATCAGTTTTGCTACCATTTCGATCTTCAGAAGACGCAGAATCGCCTGAAAGCCTCGAGCGCACGTCTATTTCAAGCTCTGACCCTTTGTCTCCATGCAACCTTTCCAAATATTCATGTGCTTTACTTGCCACCTCGCGCGATCGCTGCTTCTGATAGTGAACCCTTGCAACAACAGAGCTATGTTTCTCGTCCTCAGAGATTGTGCTCTGCGCGCTCCTGCTCAGCTTTCTAGAACTCGCGGTCTCCACTATCTGTCGATAGCGAGTCGGGTGAACGTACTTTCCGGTTGCATCAAAGACCAGTTTACTCATTAGCCCTCCCAGTTTTTGGTGCTGCCCTCCATTTCTTGTGACCAATGCAAAGTCGCAGGTCGGTCTGAGTAGGGGGCGAATGTGGTTGATGTAGCCATCCAACACTTGCATGCTCGTCTCAGTCAGGTAAAGAGAATCGAAGCCATATTTGCCAGCCGTTTTGAACATTTTCTGGTCTACAAATCCACCGTTAGTCTTGGCTTTGTTCACCATTTCCACTGTTAAGTACTGATATGTCATGGAGCGCGAGCCCTTGACCTTGATAAATAAATAGACGGCCACAAATTTGGTAGCAAAAGATAAATCTATTGGCAAAACAGCACCAGGTTTCTCTTTGCATGATTTCAGCACGCTCTCGTAGCGCGGAAGGTAGCGACCCACGACTTCCAACAGTTCTTCTAGTGTGGCCCAGTGCCCCTTGGCTTCTAAGGCATCGATGTCGAGTTCGCTGGTCCACTGCAAGCGCATCATTTTGGAAACGGTTTTGCGCACCTTTTTCAAGTAAATTTCTGTTGAAGCCAGCCCTCTCAACGCTGATTCCGATGCTCCATTCACTTTTCGATAATCCACCAATTCTGCAATGGCATCCAAGTAGCCTATGCGTCCCGCGTGTCCCAGATTCCAATCATCCTGCATGGTATCAACAAACTTGAAAAGGAGATTCGGTGAACATAAACTAAAGTCCACAATGTCAAATGTGAGCTCCTCTTCGTCTTCACAACAAAATTTGAGAAACTTTAAGCACTTGCTCACGATCTGTTGTGCTTGTCGATCACTTTTACAGCCCCCACCGCTGCCAGTGAGCCACGAAAAAAAGTTCTTGGCAATTTTGTTCGTAGAATCAAAAGAGGCAATTGCCCTGCTTTTACGTGGCGTAATCTTCTGATCACTGGCTTCACATTTGTCGGTTTCATCGACGTTAAGCGTATCGATTTGCGCACCGTCTGGCTTCTCGTCGAAGTAATAGTACCAACTGTGTTTGCTCTTTACGTGTTTTCTACAGCCTCTTTGCGTAGTGAATCCATCGTGGTTACAAATTTGCACTGGGCAGTGAAAAAGACCATCACAGTCATCCTCTTCTAAGTGAAGTCTCTTTGGTTTAGGCGATGCATTTGCTAACTTTGACCAGTCGACATCCTTGCCCCGTTTGTTCATTTTAAGCGTTAGCTTGAAATCGATATTTTTCTAAAGTATGCATGTTTTTATACTAGCAAAAGGGTCCCCAAGAGATCATCCTTTTCGCCAATGAGATATTTGTTAGCCCATCTCTGCCCACACTTGGTCATTCTTGCCCCTTGTCCCATTGTTTTCTTGTCCGTATTTGGTACACAATTAATCAAAAGGAACAAAGACACAAGCCTGAACTTGCGCGGGCAAGCCCAAACGAGATTAAGCATGCAGAGGGCAAGTCTCGTACTTAACTTGATTGTTGACGGAAACATGTTTTGATAAATTTGTATAGTGGAGGTGATGGACAGTAGTTTCAGATAGCCTACGATAAATAAGAACTATTGTTCCCTATTCCTTTTTACACTTTGCGCAAAATGGAACGCTAGTTCCTTTGTCACAAATTCGGAACCTGTTCCCATTTATTAGCGGAACATAACACTCATCTTGAGGAACAAAAAACCACCTCGATTAGGAACAATTCCGTTCCTGTTGGGCATGAATAGGAACAATTTGAACCGAAAGGGAACAAGGCGTTCCGAACAGCAGTGGATATGCCAGTAAATAGGAACAATTTGTTCCTTACTGTGTAGAGCAAGAAATTAGATTGGGAACATTTGTTCCCCAGTCACTTCGAAAGGAACATGAAGGGAAATCGGAACTGTTGAAAGAGGACCTTTTGTTCCTGAAAGGATAAAAGAGGAACCAGTTGTTCCTTTTGACTAAAACGAAAAGGAACTTTGTGTTCCAATTTGCTGCTAACGGACCAGATTGTTCCGAAATTTGCCGACCTTTGTTCCTCTTGTGCAAATAAAGTTCCTTTATTGTGCGTTCCTAGGTTGTTCCTAAAGCAATTAAAGGAACAAAAAGCAAAAACGCGCGGAACACTACGTTTTTGAAAAATCGATGTTTCCTCGTGTCGCGTCACTTAAAATCAAACTTTGAAAGTTTCCTCATGTAAAAAACGGCCTGACAATACTAAGGACAAAAATACAATTGAAAACTACGGTGTTTTAACCTGAAATGTTGCTATCATTACTTTTGGGGAATGTATATGATCGTTTCCCAAAAATTCAGTTCCCTTTTTTTGAAGCCTTAAAATAATACTAAGTACTGCGAAGATCTTTCTAAAACTACATCTCTTAGTAGTTTTATGCAGGAAAAAGCTAAAAAGCACACTCTCAGTTCTTTTGCTAAGAACTACAAATATATCTGGATGTTTTTCCGCGAAAGCGTTCCTTGTGAGAGGAACGGCCATTGAAAAGAACGCTTGTTCCTATACTGTGTGAAGATATGTTAGCCGTAAAGGCTTTCCCAAAATTTAGTTCCTTCTTTGTCAGTGATGACAAAGATGCTTAAAAAAAAAAAAAACCGCTTTATAGTGAATTCTGTTGGTAGGTAGTCGCTCTCCCATTACTCCCTTTGTCAAATCCGTCTTTCCGTTCCTTTGACAAGAAGTTTCGGAAGCTAACATAAGTTTTAACATAACGTAAAGTTCCTTCCAATTTTTGTAAACTTTTAATATTTATCGAAAGACGGATTTTTAAAAAATTTAGCAAATCCAGGATATGAATGTTTAATGACATATAATATTGTAAACTACTCTTGAATACTGTAAGTAAATTCTCAGCAATATTTAATAAATATTTCTTTAATATATACTTACAGTTTTAAAGAGAAGTATATGATTAACTATTTCATTAAAAATTCATATCCCCGTCAAACCCGTCGAATCCATCTTTCCCGTCCTTGTTTGAGAAGATGTTTCCTAAGCTAATATATTACAATTGATTCACTTAACAGCACTGTAAGTGTTCTCCAATGTAAACTTCTGAAATTCAACGGGAAAGACGGATTTCACGGATTTAGCGGGGATCAGATCCATCTTTCCCGTCCTTGTTTGACAAGATGTTTGCGGTAAAAGAAATGTATTACATTTGATCAGTTTGAGCACCTGTTGTTCAGACCTACGTTTCAGGAAACTCGGAATAGCACAAAGTACATGACAATCGTTTACAACTCAAATCTGTTTCATTTGTTTTTCTATCAACAATAAGCAAGCCTTACAAAAGTATGAATGGTTTAATTAAGTAAGTTTTCAAACATTAGTTTCCCATGTCCAATTTTGAGCACTTTTTTTTGCAAAATTCAGTTGTTCTCATCAGGGAAGTTTCGAGTTACGCAGAAGAATGCAGCATTACGTCACTTTGTAGTAACCATTTTGTGTTGCAATTATCACTAGTTTCTGTCCACTTGTTTTCCCTTAAAAACCTATGAACCTTGGGGGCAAAAACTGTGAGAAAACTGCGCAATTATCACAATTTCAAAATTATCGCCAACGTTCTTTACAACGTTAACGAGTAAAATCTGTTCCCTTTGTGTTTCTCTCAGTGATAAGACAAAGCCGCCTATCAATAGTATGAATGTTAAAACCACGTAAGGTTTGGAACAATAATTTTCCATGCCCAATTAACAGCACTCTTTACAAAACTTAGTTGGTTTCACCAGATACGTTTCGAGTAACACAGAAGAACGCAGAATTACGTAACTCTGAAGTAACCGTTTTTTGTGTTGCAATTATCGCTAGTTTCTGTCCACTTGTTTTCCTTAAAACCTATCAACCCTAGGGACAACAACTGCGAGAAAACTGCGACATAAATTCCACAATAATGGCCAGGTTTGCTTGCAATTAGCCGACCATTATGGTTGAAACTGTAACAGTGTCAAAAACAGCGAGTGACATTTCTTCATATTTATTCTTATCAATTTCACAAGTCGAAGACAGATATATAAGCAGCCGTTTGAGCCTCATTTATCGCTGCACATTTGACGAAGATGCGTCGAGCCACAGGACCGTGCAAACAACTTAACAGCGAGGGGATAAAAGGAGCAACGTTGGGTTACATGAGTCCCGTAATCGCCGGCCAATGTAGCATTGTGAGCGCGAAATGTGTCTTAAACGTAAGCGAAAAGGAGCTTGCCAAATCGTGGAACAACATCTGCAAAAAGCGAGATTTGTGTGACAGAGCCCTTTCAGGTTAGCTTTCATCAAATTTCATGCTAATTATAGGTTGCCAAAAAAAATTAAAACGAATCTTGTCTATTTTCAGGTATTCCGAATGCAGCCTTTTTTTTCAGTGCGATATCTACACACGAGAAAAAGAAGGGAAACGTACAAGAGGAAAGCGAGGAAAGCGAAGAAGAACCCGAACCAATTCCTGTGCCAAGCACGTCTTCCGAACAATGGCTTGATGGCAGTCGAACTCGTGTCAATAAATTGCTTTGGCCATCGCTGACCTATTGGATTGCACTCACGTCACCCAATGGCGCCCCCGCAAATCCCTTGGTGGTTCATCGGACCCTGCTCGAGTGTGGAATGGGTGTCACAGCAAAACAGGTATGGGACGTATTCTTGGCAAGTTAAGCTTACTAATAGATACTTTTATAATTGAGCAGGTTTATTCCGTACAACTTATGTAATACCTTACAGCTGATAGAAAGATCAGAGTCAAGCTGTTACGGGGATGAGTTACGAATTATACGACATAGTTAGCGATGACAATTCCAAAAAAAAATCTGTTCACTAAAATTGAGTTTCTACTTTACCAGGTGCAATTTCAAGATGGAAAGAGTGTATTGCCATTCGAGAACTGTACAATCTACTCAAAGACCATAAAAATCCCTATATGCAAGACCTCGTGACAGCATCATACGAGCACAATTATCGCGAGGAATTATCAAGCTTACTCGCAACATCGCAACCACAAGAATTGGAAGGCTGTGGGACAGAAAATGTCGTTCGTGTCACTATCGTGAAGCCAAGTTTTCAACAGCCATTATCAAACGCTCTGGAAAAGATCATGGAAGCTAAGCTACAAATTGACAAGTTTGGCTTTACACGCGACACGACGCTGCCGGTTTCTGAACGCGAAGAGAAACATTTATCAGATAAACTCACGATTCTCGTCAACGACATCACCATCGCAATGCAAAAGTTACAATACGCCAGCTATCGAGGCAAAGTGTACAAGTTTGTTTTTTTCCGATACAAGGGCTCATACACCATGGCAACATCGCCACCGTCATGAAGCAACGGGCGTTCAATAAGGCCATGATCACCCCATTTACAGAAGTCATTTTCATCGATGAGGCAGACGAGAAAACACTCGACGTCGCTGACTGGAAAATCTTACCGCAAGGAGGATATACCGCTCACGACGTTAAGTATCAGACGGCTAAAGCATTCCTTAACAAGTGCCCGATGTTAGTGACCGCGCAGCGTAAGCTTGATTTCGGTCCCGCCGACCAGCCAGCAATGGATAGACGTCTGCGCACGTATCAGTTCAAGAGCCTCCCGAATCCCAGACGAAAGGCGGCAGCGTGGCTCAAAAAGCACGCCATGGAATGCGTTGTTTGGGCTGCTGAAAAGGCAAAAACATGTGACGACGACAGCGAGGACGAAACCGATACCGAGAGCGACGATGACAACGACGTAGATGACGAGGAAGGTCTTTTGAAGGAGACGGAAAAGGAAGCACTTAAGTCGCTGTCACTTGCGAATCCCCTGGCCACTGGCGAGATTAACATTGCACTTTCGACAGACGAAGAAGAGGACAATTCCGATGAAGATGGCGTAAGTAGCACCTCGATAGACCGCCTCGATTTGTTGAGGGAAGCCGTAAGCAGATCGCACCCAGAGAGTCTACGACACAGGCAAGTGCAGCAGATGCTGATGGAGGAGGAGAGGAAACGAGCCGAGGAAGAGAAGAGAAAACGACAGCAGCACCTGAGGCGAAAATCCATGCTGAGGAAGAACGGAGTGAGCACCCAGAATGCAGAGTTGCTTCCGTTAGACCCGGGCGAGGAGATGCCCACTCCAATTGTTCTTGATCTCGAAGAGAATCGAAGAGCACAGAGAGAACACCTGGTACAGCAGCGCCGCGAGAAGGCACGTTTAGTCTTCGCTGGTTCTTGGCTGCGTTGCACGGAGAAGGAACTTGACGAGTGTGTACAAAAGTACAGTCGTACAGACGATCCATACATGCGAAGTAGCCTGATGGCGTACCAGGTCCTATCCGACAAGCTGAAGCTCCACCATCAGAATCTTGGGACCTTCAACACGGAGGAAGCGGTGGCGGAACGTAGGAGAGTCTGCGTGGAGCTGGGAATACTGCGCGAAGCAGACCAGCTCATGGTAAAAAATGTGACGGAACCCTTGCCAAGACCGACAGAAGAGCAAGGTGTGGCAGAAGCCGAAGCGGGTACCGAGGACGACAGCGCCGATGAGGTATTTACCCAGGTTCCTAGCTGGCAGACGAACCACTTAGAGTTTTTGAGGACCTGTCAGGGCGAGCAGCAACTCCAGAAAGGGACGAAGAGGGCAAGAAAACAGGAAGGGCGAGTTCGTGCAAAGAGCCAGAAGGACAGGGGCTGCAGCAACAGTGAGAACACAATCCTCAAGTACTTTTCCAGCCAGAAGTAGGTCTGCGCTCAGAGTGGACGAGAACAGAACATTGTATTTTGCATTATTGCCCTTTATTCGTAGGTCCTTCAGTTTAACTCGAGTTAAGCCTACGTGCTCACGATCAACTGCCTGTGCAAGATGATTCATTTGTTCGTGATCAAGTCCAAATAAAAATTGTTTGTGCTTAAACATGTGTTGTTTTACGATCACTACTAGCTTTTAAGTGTCGCCCGAACGCATTTTTGTCCCGTTTTACAACTTTCAAACTATTCCACTTAGAATTGCGGTTAAAAAAACGTGGTCTTAGTCCATTGCGTTTGTCCAGTCGAGGAAAACTTCCGAGGGGGGGCCCTCTTAAGTTTCGTGTTATGACCTACCTACAGTTTAGTTTTATGATGCCCTTCGCAAAATTATGTTTTGCTCACAATGTAAAGTTCTAGGATAACTTAGAAAGTGATCCAAATCTTCGCGCTGCACGGCTTAGCAGGGAGTTGGCTGTCCTTCCCTCTTGAAAACGATATTCGGGATCCCTGAGAATCGTTTTCCATTGACCGTAGCCGTGTTGCTCGATGCCTGCTTTTAGATGATTGTCTTCTTCAGGGGTGAACATCAGACTTTTTTTCTCGCCGGGAAATCTGTTGCTATAAACGCATTTTCCCGCTTTAGTCTCGGGACACCTGAAAGACGCTCGGGTGGTGTTTCTGCGATCGTTTCTCCCTCGTCGTTAGAGGAAGTATTGGTTTTGCTACCGTTTTGATCTTCAGAAGACACAGAATTGCCAGAAAGCCTCGGGCGCACGTCTATTTCTAGCTCTGATCCCTTTTTTCCGTGCAATCGTTCCAAATATTCGTGTGCTTTGCTCGCCACCTCGCGCGATCGCTGCTTCTGATAGTGAACCCTTGCAACAACGGAGCTGTGTTTCTGGTCCTCGGAGATTGTGCTCTGGGCGCTGCTGCTCAGCTGCCTGCAACTCGCGGTCTCCACAATCTGTCGATAGCAAGTCGCATGAACGTAATTGCCCGTTGCATCGAAGACCAGTTTACTCATTAGCTCTCCCAGCTTGTTGTGCTGCCCTCCATTTCTTGTTACCAATACAAAGTCGCAGGTCGGTCTGAGTAGGGGGCGAATGTGGTTGATGTAGCCATCCAACACTTGCATGCTCGTCTCAGTCAGGTAAAGAGAATCGAAGCCAAATTTTCCAGCCGTTTTGAACATTTTCTGGTCTATAAAGGCACCGTTAGTCTTGGCTTTGTTCACCATTTCCACTGTTAAGTACTGATATGTCATGGGGCGCGAGCCCTTGACCTTGATAAATAAATAGACGGCCAAAAATTTGGTAGCAAAAGATAAATCTATTGGCAAAACAGCACCCGGTTTCTCCTTGCATGATTTCAGTACGCTCTCGTAGCGCGGCAAGTAGCGCCCCACGACTTCCAACAGTTCTTCTAGTGTGGCCCAGTGCCCCTTGGCTTCTAAGGCATCGATGTCGAGCTCGCTGGTCCACTGCAAGCGCATCATTTTGGAAACGGTTTTGCGCACCTTTTTCAAGTAAATTTCTGTTGAAGCCAGCCCTCTCAACACTGATTCCGATGCTCCATTCACTTTTCGATAATCCACTAATTCTGCAATGGCATCCAAGTAGCCTATACGTCCCGCGTGTCCCAGATTCCAATCATCCTGCATGGTATCAACAAACTTGAAAAGGAGATTCGGTGAACATAAAGTCCACAATGTCAAATGTGAGCTCCTCTTCGTCTTCACAACAAAATTTGAGAAACTTTAAGCACTTGCTCACGATCTGTTGTGCTTGTCGATCACTTTTACAGCCCCCACCGCTGCCATTGAGCCACGAAAAAAAGTTCTTGGCAATTTTGTTCGTAGAATCAAAAGAGGCAATTGCCCTGCTTTTACGCGGCGTAATCTTCTGATCACTGGCTTCACATTTGTCGGTTTCATCCACATTAAGCGTATCGATTTGCGCACTGTCTGGCTTCTCGTCGAAGTAATAGTACCAACTGTGTTTGTTCTTTACGTTTTTTCTACAGCCTCTTTGCGTAGTGAATCCACCGTGGTTACAAATTTGCACTGGGCAGTGAAAAAGACCATCAGAGTCATCCTCTTCTAACTGAAGTCTCTTTGGTTTATGCGATGCATTTGCTAACTTTGACCAGTCGACATCCTTGCCTCGTTTGTTCATCTTAAGTATTAGCTTGAAATCGATATTTTTCTAAAGTATGCATGTTTTTATACTAGCAAAAGGGTCCCCAAGAGATCATCCTTTTCGCCAATGAGATATTTGTTAGCCCATCTCTGCCCACACTTGGTCATTCTTGCCCCTTGTCCCATTGTTTTCTTGTCCGTATTTGGTACACAATTAATCAAAAGGAACAAAGACACAAGCCTGAACTTGCGCGGGCAAGCCCAAACGAGATCAAGCATGCAGCGGGCAAGTCTCGTACTTAACTTGATTGTTGACGGAAACATGTTTTGATAAATTTGTATAGCGGAGGTGATGGACAGTAGTTTCAGATAGCCTACGATAAATAGGAACTATTGTTCCCTTTTCCTTTTTTCACTTTGCGCAAAATGGAACACTAGTTCCTTTGTCACAAATTCGGAACCTGTTCCCATTTATAAGCGGAACATAACACTCATCTTAAGGAACAAAAAACCACCTCGATTAGGAACAATTCCGTTCCTGTTGGGCATGAATAGGAACAATTTGAACCGAAAGGGAACAAGGCGTTCCGAACAGCGGTGGATATGCCAGTAAATAGGAAAAACTTTGTTCCTTACTGTGTAGAGCAAGAAATTAGATTAGGAACATTTGTTCCCCAATCACTTCGAAAGGAACATAAAGGGAAATCGGAACTGTTGAAAGAGGACCTTTTTGTTCCTGAAAGGATAAAAGAGGAACCAGTTGTTCCTTTTGACTAAAACAAAAAGGAACTTTGTGTTCCAATTTGCTGCTAACGGACCAGATTGTTCCGAAATTTGCCGACCTATGTTCCTATTGTGCAAATAAAGTTCCTTTATTGTGCGTTCCTAGGTTGTTCCTAAAGCAATTAAAGGAACAAAAAGCAAAAACGCGCGGAACACTACGTTTTTGAAAAAGAGATGTTTCCTCGTGTCGCGTCACTTAAAATCAAACTTTGAAAGTTTCCTCATGTAAAAAACGGCCTGACAATACTAAGGACAAAAATACAATTGAAAACTACGGTGTTTTAACCTGAAATGTTGCTATCATTACTTTTGGGGAATGTATATGATCGTTTCCCAAAAATTCAGTTCCCCTTTTTTGAAGAGCCGCTTAAAACCAAGAAAAAGGACTGTTGTAAAACAGCTTGCACACTTTTAAACAGTTTTACCGTTTATAAATTTCAGCACACACGGAAAAGATGGATTTTACGGATTTTGTGGAGCCATGCAGCTTGGAGTTCCTACATTTTCATACATTTTCTATTTTCGTTTCAGCCAAAATTTTCATCACACACGGAAAAGATGGTTTTACACATACATTTTTGAGTATTACAGAAACTTCTTTTAAAGAAGGTCCGTTGAAAAAAAGCTTGAGAAATACAATAATCTCTTGCATTTCATTACCAAGTTCGCTCCTAAATGGTGACACTAAATGCATCACATCTTTTCGGTCTTTCCTTTGAATTATTGTTTGAGAAAAGGTGCCGGGCGCTACCTGGATTGAATGACAGTTTTGATTGCATTGTTTGAGCGTCCGAGAAAACAAGTCAGAGAACAGGTCTAATGATCCTATCATTTTTGTACTTCACTGAAAAGGGTCGGTTTTTTTGCTTCGATTTCTCCTGGGGAGCACCATCATAATAGAGCGATTGTATTGTTTGCGTTGAAGTTGCCCTCTAAATTACACAAGAACGTCCTTATTGTCTTGCGCTAGCAACCGCGATTCATACTTTAAAAGAACGTGCAAAAAAAGGAACGCCCTTTCTGACGCTCATTTGATAGTTACATAATCTTTGACACGTCCTCGTCAACATATTTGACTTCAAAACATGACAAACAAACTAATGAATCATCTTTCATAGTTATTCATCAGCACGTCGAAAACAGAGCCAACAAAAGGCTAAACTTTCAAATTTATTCGTCAATATTTCACAGCGCTTATCCACTAGACAAACACTGCACCCATGCCACAACATTTGTGCTACGAACGAAGAATGCAGCGGACAAGACAGCCATGTCGACAGCTCAACAGCGAGGGCATCAAGAGCACGGCCTTGTGCTATCTAACGCCGGTAATAAGTGGAAGGTGTAGTATTATCAGCGCTAAATGTCTTTGTAGAGTGAAGGATAAGGCCTTGCCAAAGGCCTGGGCAACAGTTTGTGGAAAGCGAGATGTGTGCGATCGTTTAAAGAACATTTTAGTGCAAAAGTTTGACGCATTTTTATCTTTCCAATACTGCAGGTATCCACAACGTAGCATTTTTCTTTAGTGCTATAGGCAGCCAAGAGAAAAAAAAAGGCAGTATCAATGAGAACACAGACGAGGAGAGTAGTTCTGAAGATGAGATTCCCAGCTCGTTTTCTCAACAATGGCTCGAAGGCAATTTAACGAACGTAAACAAATCACTCTGCTCTGCGATTGCTTACTGGGTCGCGTTGACGACAGTAAACGGTGCGCCCGCCAGCCCAATTTCTGTGCATAAAACCCTGTTAAATTCAGGACTGGAAGTCACAGCAACACAGGTAATTAAATTATTTTCTTACTTTTTGATAACCCAAGCATTCCCTTAGCCGTGAACAAAGTATTCAGCATCTCTTGATTCATCTATTTCTTTGCTAACATTTAAGATTTTTTCTCTTCTCAGTTGCTTTGAAAGAAAACCTAACAAAAACGACTGTACTTTTTTTCTTGTGACACTGCCATTATCAACTTGAATTTTTTATTTCGGAATGATTTTTGTCGTAACAGAAGTAATTCTACTGTAATTTGAACTCAGTTTTCAATTGTTTCCGTTTTTTTTCTAATTGAAAAAGTGCTTGTCCCGCGGACAAGTCATGTCAAAGGTTTACATGTGCAAAATGAATTTCTACCTGTCCCGGACAATCGGACATAGGTTTTGGTGCACCCCGAATTCCTTGTTAATAATAGTAATGATGATAATGACAATAATAAAAGATACAAGCGGTCAGTCAGTGAAGAAAGAGGAAAAGTAGAACCGTGTTGGGTAAAATGCTTCAATTTTATATGCAGTTTCAAGAGGGAAAAGAATCCCCAGCCACAGCAGAACTTTACAAAGTGTTGAAAGATCACAAAAATCCTTTTATGCAAGACCTCGTTAGCTTGTCCTTCAAACACTGTTACCAAGACGAAGCGAGAAAGGTGATCGGCGATGATGGCTTATGCACCCAGGAGTTGGACGACTGCGGAACTGAAAATGTGGTGAGAGTGACCCTGGTTAACCCGAAATTTCACACGTCCTTACTGAGTGCAGTCGAACTTCTGACCGCAGCTGAGCTACAATTAGACAAATTTGGCTTCGAGTCCAGCACGACAACGTCTCAAGCTTCCACCAGTCAGCTATCCATGACGTGCGATGAGGATAAGATGCTGTCGGCGGATAAACTTGCAATCCTCGTTAACGATATACCGGTCGCCATGGGAAAACTGGGCTATCCAAGCTACCGGGGCAAAGTCTATAAGAAGAATGACCAAGCCAGATACAAGACAAGAGGCGAGGCAAGAGCTTTCGTCAACACCCTCGCCACCAACGAGTTCTTCAAGGCAAGACTTCTTCGCGAGATGAAGAGAGTGATCGACCAGTTATCCGATCCATTCTGCGAACTTTTTTCGCCGTTAATAATCAACTACGACCTCACTGAGGTAAAAGACGGCCGCTGTTGGTCCATCAGCCGGCGGGACTTTGTTGAAGATGCCATCGAGGAGCAACAGGTGGGAAAGATCTCGCCGAGAGAATTCTGTTCCTTCGACTCTGCAAGAGATCCTGATCCAAAGTACTTTCGAGAAGTCTTAGAGAACAGCCTAAGCACGCAGGAGGTGGCGAAGTTCTGTGACGATTTCCTAAAGCTGCTTCTCTACAATAAAAAACAGCACAAAGACAAGGTGCCGTGTTTGGTAGGCGATGCCAACAATGGAAAGACGACTTTGTTCATGCCCATTCTAGGCCTCATCCATCACGGCAACGTGGCCACGGTGACAAAGCAGAAAGCATTCAATAAATCAATGATAACGCCCTTCACTGAAGGGATATTCATCGACGAAGCCACCGAACGCACGCTTGATTTTGACGATTGGAAGATCCTGACTCAGGGTGGGTATGCCGCCCACGACATGAAATATCAAAGTGCCCGGGCATTCATCAACCGCTGCCCCATGCTGATCACCTCACAAAGAAAGCTTGCGTTTGGTCCCGCCGATCAGCCTGCGATGGAGCGGAGGCTAAGAACCTACACCTTCAGAAGCCTTCCCCGGCAAAAAAAGAAGGCGTCCAACTGGATGGGAACGCATCCCATGGATTACGTCCTATGGGCAGTGCAAAAGGCAGAAGGGGCTGAGAACTAGGACGAATCGGAAGACGATAGTGACGAAAGTACACAGGAGGAGGAATCGACCTTTGCCGAAGGTGTGCTGCGCGAAGAAGAGAAGGCAGAGATTCGGTCAATGTCACTGCTGGTGCTTTTGGCCAAAGAGATACTAGCGGTCGACATGTCAGACGAGGAAAATCCAGAGGACGAGCGCGACGGCGATTCAGTTTCGTCTTCATCCTCACAGGCAGATCGTATGGTGCATTTAGGAGATCTCCTTGAGAAGACACAGCCGGGTTGCCTGCGCCACAGACAGCTTGCGCAGATGCTGAGGACGGAGGGGCACAAAAAAAGGGAAGAAGAAAGGTCACGAGCGGAACGACGCAGAAAGAGGGAGGACTTCCTTCGCTCCAGGGCCGTATCAAATGCGAACTTGAGCCTGTTACCCGACAACCTCGACAATCCCACTCCCAGTCCAATTGCGAGGGATCTAGAGCGGTATGACCAAGCACGGGTAGCAGCTGAAGAACAGGCTCGTAGAGAGACTACCAGAGAAGCGTTTCAGGGAACTTGGTTGAGATCCACCGAGAAGGATTTAAAGCGATGCTGTGAACGGTACCAGGCTAGTGACGACTCGTCGGAGCGTTCCATGTTGAAGGCCTACATAAAGCAACTGTCAGGCAAACTCAGGTTTCTCTGGGAATGTTTGGAACTGCCGAGGCTGTGGCGGAACGGAGGAGGGTGTGCACACTTCTCGGCCTTCTGGACCAGCGCCAACAGTACCTGGTCACGAGTGTAGCGAAGAGACTGCCACTTGCCAATCAGGACGGTGACGGTGTTGATGCCGAAGAACAACAAGAAGAAGAAGACCTGAGTATCTTCGTGACACCTGTTCCAAGCTCAAGCACTAGACAGCCGCATCCAAGTGCGCGTTCAGACCGAACCACAACCACTGAAGCCAGTAAGCGCAAGCATTCCTCCTCAAGCCAGCGAGTTGCGAAAAAACATTGCCAAAGCAACAAAATAAACATGTATTTCTCAAGTCAACAGTAATTCATTTCTTCTTACAACAACAATAACATGTTGCTTGTCATGTACTGAACCACATTGCTGATTTCCTTTGTCGTTATTTATATTTCAAGGATATCTTTTTATTCTGGGGTTAATGTAAAGTTCTAGGATAACTTAGAAAGTGATCCGAATCTTCGCGCTGCACGGCTCAGCAGGGAGTTGGCTGTTCTTCCCTTTTGAAAACGAAATTCGGGATCCCTGAGAATCGCTTTCCATTGACCGTAGCCATGTCGCTCGATGCCTGCTTTTAGAGAATCGTCTTCTTCAGGGGTGAACATGAAACTCCTTTTTCTCGCCGGGAAATCTGTCACTATAAACGCATTTTCTCGCTTTAGTCTCGGGATACCTGAAAGACGCTCGGGCGGGATTTCTGTGATCGTTTCTCCCTCGTCGTTAGAGGAAGTATCGGTTTTGCTACCATTTTGATCTTCAGATGACGCAGAATTGCCTGAAAGCCTCGAGCGCACGTCTATTTTTAGCACTGATCCCTTTTTCCCATGCAATCGTTCCAAATATTGATGTGCTTTGCTCGCCACCTCGCGCGATCGCTGCTTTTGATAGTGAACCCTTGCTACAACAGAGCTATGATTCTGGTCCTCGGGATTGTGCTCTGCGCGCTGCTGCTCAACTGGCTGCAACTCGCGGTTTCCACAATCTGTCGATAGCAAGTCGCATGAACGTAATTGCCCGTTGCATCGAAGACCAGTTTACTCATTAGCTCTCCCGGCTTGTTGTGCTGCCCTCCATTTCTTGTTACCAATACAAAGTCGCAGGTCGGTCTGAGGAGGGGGGGCGAATGTGGTTGATGTAGCCATCCAACACTTGCATGCTCGTCTCAGTCAGGTAAAGAGAATCGAAGCCAAATTTTCCAGCCGTTTTGAACATTTTCTGGTCTATAAATCCACCGTTAGCCTTGGCTTTGTTCACCATTTTCACCGTTAAGTACTGATATGTCATGGGGCGCGAGCCCTTGACCTTGATAAATAAATAGACGGCCAAAAATTTGCTAGCAAAAGATAAATCTATTGGCAAAACAGCAACCAGTTTCTCCTTGCATGATTTTAGTACGCTCTCGTAGCGTGGCAAGTAGTGCCCCACCACTTCCAAAAGTTCTTCTAGTGTGGCCCAGTGCCCCTTGGCTTCTAAGGCATTGATGTCCAGTTCGCTGGTCCACTGCAAGCGCATTATTTTGGAAACAGTTTTGCGCACCTTTTTCAAGTAAATTTCTGTTGAACCCAGTCCTCTCAACACTGATTCCGATGCCTCGTCCCGCGTGTCCCAGATTCCAATCATCCTGCATGGTATCAACAAACTTGAAAAGCAGATTCGGTGAACATAAACTAAACTCCACAATGTCAAATGTGAGCTCCTCTTCGTCTTTGCAACAAAACTTGAGAAACTTTAAGCACTTGCTTACGATCTGTTGTGCTTGCCGATCACTTTTGCTGCCCCCACCACCGCCAGTTGGCCACGAAAAAAAGGTCTTGGCAATGTTGTTTGTAGGATCAAAAGAAGCAATTGCCCTGCTTTTATGCGGTGTAATCTTCTGATCATTGGCTTTGCAGTTGTTGTTTTGATCGACATGAAGCGAATCGATTTGAGCACTGTCTGGCTTCTCGTCGAAGTCATAGTACCAACTGTGTTTGTTCTTTACGTGTTTTCTACAGCCTCTTTGCGTAGTGAGTCCATCATGCTTACAAATTTGCACTGGGCAGTGAAAAAGACCATCACGGTCATCCTCTTCTAAGTGAAGTCTCTTTGGTTTAGGCGATGCATTTGCTAACTTTGACCAGTTGACATCCCTGCCTCGTTTGTTCATCTTAAGCGATGAAGGAGCTATTCAAAGTATTAAAGGATCACAACAACAAGTTTATGCAGGACTTAGTAACAGCTTTCTACCAGCAGTGTTTCCTGACTGTGGCGGAGGGGTTTTTGAGCGATTCAGAATCAATGGATGTGGAGGAATGTGGAACGGAAAACGTAGTCAGCGTCCGCGTCATCCAAGCCTCGTTTAAGTCTATTGTTTCTGAAGCAATAGATAAAATGATGGGAGCAAAGTTAGTGATTGATTGTTATGGCTTGGATGGTAACAGCCAAGAATCCCAAGAAGAAAGAACAAGTGACAGGATGGAACCGCGACTAGGTGACAAGCTTACAGTCCTCATAAATGATATCTCGATTGCAATGAGGAGGCTGGAATACGCCCTTTACAGGGGCACTGTTTATAAAAAGTGTGAAGGTGCCACTTACACCTACTCCTACAAGTGCGATGTGAAGGGGTTTGTGAACAGTCTAGCTGCAAATGAGTCATTGAAGGCAAGACTGGTGAGGGACATGAAAAAAGTTATCGATATCCTGGCTGACCCTGATTGTGAAGTAATTCGTCCCATTGTTGTCGACTACAACCTCATAGAGGTGAACGAAGGGAAATGTTGGTCTGTCTCAGAAAGACGGTTCTTGAACAACGCAATTCCAGCAGAGAAAATGGGCCTTGTGACTCCCAGGGCTTTCTCGCGTTAGGATCCTTCCAAAGTCCCGCAGCCTAAATACTTCCAAGACATTTTGGAAAACAGCCTGACAGAAAACAAGATTGGTTTGTTTTGCGAAGATTTCTTGAGACTTTTGAATTTCAACCAAAAGAAGCACAAAGAGAGAGTGCCATGCCTTGTCGGTGAGTCTGACAGCGGAAAGACAAGCCTGTTTTACCCAATACTGCGGCTGATTCACCACAGCAACGCAGCAACTGTAACCAAGCAAAAAGTGTTCAACAAGGCAATGATTGGCAAGAACACCGAGGTGATATTCATTGATGAGGCCACTCCGTCGACTCTCGATGTGGACGACTGGAAGATACTCACTCAAGGGGGATACACAGCTTGCGATGTCAAGTACAAAACGGCCAAGTCATTTTTCAATCGATGTCCCATGTTCATGACTGCACAGCAAAAACTTCAGTTCAAGGAGGAAGATCAGCAGGGTATGGACCGAAGGCTAAGGTATTACTTCTTCAAACGCCTGTCAAGTCCGAAAAAGAAGACCGCCCAGTGGCTGCGCAAGCATCCTATGGAATGTGTTGTGTGGGCTGCATCGAAAGCGAGGGTAGATACAGATGAAAAAGAAAGTTCTGATGACGACGATGAAGACGCGGAGAGAAACACACCAAACGACGAAGGCCCACTGCTGGAGACTGAGAAAGAGGTTTTAAGAAATGTGCAGTTGACCGACCTCTTGGCTGATTTACGCGCAAATCCCTGAGACGAAGAGGACACTGCAGGAGACGATAACGGGGACCAAATCGTGGATGCCGATGAAACCACGCACGCATTAAAGAACTCGCTCGCACAGACTTTACCGGGGTCTTTGGATAACCGTCACCTCAGTCTCTTACTGGAAAAGCATTTACAGCAAAACGAAGAGAGGATGCGACGGGAGATACAACGGCACGAGAGACATCAACAGTGTCTCAGATCGAAGGGCGTGTCCGAAGAAAATGAACGTTTGCTACCCCACAATCCAAACGAGCCCCTTCCCACACCGATAAGAAATGATCTGGCCATTCACGAACAGATGACAGCCAGGGCGGATCGAAAAGAGAAGAAGAGGGCAAGGGAAGCATTCCAGTCACCATGGTTGAGGAATACAGAGAGGGAGTTAAACGAATGCATGGTCACCCTGGAATCAAGTATTATGCCTGACATGAGACTCAATGGATGCCCTGCGTGAAATCCTAGAAGAAAAGCTCAAGGACCACCACAACAACTTAGGAACTCTTGGATGCCAGGAAGCCCTTGTGGAGAGGAAAAAGGTATGCGTGGAGCTCGGACTGTTGAGAAAGGAAGACCAACACATGGTGAAAACCCTCTTCGAAGCACTGCCAGTCCCGAGCTCGAGCCAGAGAGAAGAAATGGAAGAGATATTAGAGCAAGAAAAACCCAGAACGCCGAATTACGTGCCCCAAGACAACCTGGAACAATATGGCACGCAGTCGCCGTGCACGTTCAGCTACGTTACTGGATCGGATGACGACGACGACGAGCAGCTATTCATAACGCCCTCTACAGCACCCAGAGCCTACAGCCTCTCATCCGCTCCGAAACGCAGCTATCAGAAACGCCGAAGTCAGCCCCCAACAAGTTCTCCCATGCCCAAGAGAGGAAGAATAACTCACCTTTTTTCTCTCAGCCAGCAGTAAAAATTCAGAAAATCATTCATATCAATCAATCGTGTTCAGAAATCAAGGAATAAAGTTAGCAGTTCTGTGACTTACCTGTGTGACAATAATTGATGTTTGAAAGCGTGCCTCTCCTATATTAATCTTGCAATAAAGTTTCGAGTTATATAAACTAACTAGAGTGTCAGTGTTCCGGAGCTCCTCGCAAAATTCTGTATCGCTCACAATGTAAAGTTCTAAGATAACTTAGAAAGTGATCCGAATCTTCGCGCAGCACGGCTCAGCAGTGAGTTGGCTGTCCATCCCTCTTGAAAATGAAATTCGGAATCCCTGAGAATCACTTTCCATTGACCGTAGCTGCGTCGCTCAATGCCTGCTTTTAGATAACTGTCTTCTTCAGGGGTGAACATCAAACTCTTTTTTCTCGCCGGGAAATCTGTCACTATAAACGCATTTTCTCGCTTTAGTCTCGGGACACCTGAAAGACGCTTGGGTGGTGTTTCTGTGATCTTTTCCCCCTCGTGGTTAGAGGAAGTATCGGTTTTGCTACCACTTTGATCTTCAGATGACGCAGAATTGCCTGAAAGCCTCGAGCGCACGTCTAGTTCTAGCACTGATCCCTTTTTGCCGTGCAACCGTTCCAAATATTCCTGTGCTTCGCTCGGCACCTCGCGCGATCGCTGCTTTTGATAGTGAACCCTTGCTACAACAGAGCTATGATTCTGGTCCTCGGAGATTGTGCTCTGCGCGCTGCTGCTCAGCTGCCTGCCACTCGCGGTCTCCACAATCTGTCGATAGCGAGTCAGGTGAACGTATTTGCCCGTTGCATCGAAGACCAGGTTGTTCATTAGCTCTCCCAGCTTATTGTGCTGCCCTCCATTTCTTCTGACCAATACAAAGCCGCAGGTGGGTCTTAGTAGGGGGCGAATGTGGTTGGTGTAGCCACCGCAAATTTCCCTTTCGTAAACGGTCGTTGCCATTTGAAACGGTCGATGCCATTTCTCAGAACGGTCGTTGCCATTTGAAACGGTCGATGCCATTTGAAACGGTCGATGCCATTTCTCATGACGGTCGATGCCATCGTAAAGGTCGATGCCAAGAAGGAACCGATATTTCCGACTCTCTCCGACGACATGCGTGACAATCAGAGCAATGCGTGACTAGCTTTCCTACAAACCATCGCGATTTTTATCAAATCAAAATGGCGGACAAACCCGACAATTTTCTCAAAGATCTAATATCTTCAGCTATAAAAGAAGTCGAATCGAAAAGTAAATCTTTTGAATCGACCGAAATTACAAAGGAGAGTTTTCTGGCTTCGCTTCCAGATGATTCATTTTACTACCTGAAGGCAATTTCAGGAAATGAAGAAAAGTTCAAAGTGCACTTTTTGACCGAAGATATAACGAAAGAAAACCTGGAGCAGTGGATATCCGAATATGAAGTGATAAACAGCATCTCAGTGAAGTTAAAGACAAAGAAGGCACCAACCAGCGGCTATGTGTTGCAAAACTACTATAGATGCCAACACAACACTCGCAACTGGAGTCCAAGTAAAGATCCACAGCAGAAATTGTACTTGAACCCATCTGCCAGAGTAAAGAACACCAATTGCCCCTTTCAGATGATAGTCAAAATAGACAGCGAGGGATGTTGTTCTGTGTACATAGAGCGGGAACACAACCATTCACTTGAAACTCTGGAGGCCTCTAATTTCCGTGACCTTTCTCCTAAGTGCACAGAAAGGGTTTTGAAGTTGTTTGAAAGTGGGCATACACCAGCAACCGCAAGGCAACAGTACTTGAAAGAACTCAAAGAATCATGTCAGGATGAATTGGAATTTCACAGGAAAAAGGCCAATCGGGCAGTTATGCTGAGAAAAAGGGACTTTAGTTACCTCTACACGCAATTTGGTAAGGATAGGTATGGTGGACAGGGCGTTATGATGTTTGAAAGACTTTCCGAAAGGCTTCAACAATACAAGAAAGACAACCCTGAAGCTACTACTTGTTACCAGATGTATGAAGGTGATGATACGCCTCTTATAATTGCTATTGTAACGCCTCTCATGAACCGTGTACACAAGGAAGTGCAGCAGTCTGGTGAGATGGTTTTTGTTGATGCTACTTCTAATACAGAAGAGCAAAATCTTGAAGTGTTTTTAATGTGCACAAACAATGTATCTGGAGCACTTCCACTTGGCATCTTGATCACCAATGATGAGCAGGAGCGTACACTTAAACAGGGCTTTGAAATGCTTCGGTCCTGTTTACCAGAGTATGCATTCAATGGTCGTGGTCGGGAACAAGGCCCCCAAGTCATCCTAACAGACAACTGTAAAGAGGAAAGAAATGCTCTGAAGTCTGTTTGGCCAACATCTGTTTTACTTCTTTGCATCTTCCACATGCTCCAACAACTTTGGACATGGCTTCACGAGAGCAAGAACAGTATCAGCCAAGCAGATAGACCCTATTTTCTCACCCTTTTCAAGAGGTCCTTATATGCCGAGACAAAACAAGATTTTGAGAACTGCTTCAGTGAACTTTTGAATGATGGCCGTTGCAAGAAATACCCAAATCTAGTCAGCTATTTGCAAAATCTATACAATGACAAAGAATCGTTTGCTCTATGTTTTAGAACTGAACTGCCTGTTAGAGGGAACCACACCAACAATTTTGCCGAGGCTCAGTTTTTGGTTCTTAAGGATGTAATTCTGCAGCGCACCAAAGAGTACAATGTTGTTGGGCTTCTAGACAAGCTGACTATTAATCTAGAAGATCACTACAAGAATAAGCTCCTTAGTATTGCTGATGGGAGTTTTGATGGCGTGTACAGACATCGATTCTTTGGGAAAGGGAAAGACGGAAGCACAGGGTTTAAAGTCCCAGATAAAAAAGATCTTGATGCCTACATCTCAACTGTAGAGAACTTTGGCAATAATGTATTCAAAGTTGGAAGCTCTTCAGATAGCAGTCACAGGTCAGTAGTGTTTTTTCTTCGCCGTCGCAATAGCATAACGCTCTGGTGGTACAAGAGGGCATGTGTGGGTGGCCATTATTTTCCTATCTTTCCCCCATTGTCTGATTCAAATGATCTTGATAGGGGAAGCAGGGGGGGAGGGAGCAGTGTTTCTAGGCTCCTCCCCTTTGGAGCAAAAATACATAAAACATGGGGACATAACATGCATAACATATGAGATAATTCCTGCAGTTCATCCATATGCTGCATTTCAAGGATGTTAATTTAGCATAAGGAAGACCAAAACATGACTAATATATTGTCCAGGGGGTGGGGTACCTTTAGTAATTTCCCTTCTTGGCAGGGTTATTGAGTTTTTTATAGCAGAGTAAGAGCAAGCCCTTACTCTGCTGTTAGCAATATTTCCATTAATATCTTAGTGGATCAACCAGTTGAAGGTCTAGAATGTATCTATACAGATTGAAAAACAAAAATTCCAGTTGTATTGAGATATTTATGAAGTGTCTCATTGATTCTTTGTCAGTTATACAGTGGACATGACTCTTGGGATATGTAGCTGCACGGTTGGTAAAGACGGGAGCCCATGCAAACACCAGTATGTCCTGTGGGTGGCAAATCTAGCAGACTGCATAAACTTCATTCCAGTCAGTAATCCACATGAGAGGCAGAAATTGGCCTGGCTAGCAATAGGAAAGACACTTCCTGTTGCTTGTTATAAGCCATTACGCTCTAGTGATGCTGGACAAACATCACAAACTGATGGTTCTAATGGTTTTGTAACAGAGGCATCCACTAGTATGGAAACAGCACAACAAGGGCCAAACTGCTGCACTGCTGAACCAATACAGAGCAATGATGATGATGAGGATGATTCCATTGCAAATGCTGAACAATTGTTGAGAAACTCTTGTGAACAAATAATTCAAAAGCTCCAAAGCTCAAGAGACCTTAATTTGGCTAAAGGTGTAATCAGGTTCGCAAAAAGGGTAACATCCTTAACCGCTGCTAGATCTATGCATTCTAATTTGGCAAGCGCTCTTTTTACTTTTGGGTCCAGTGAGGTGAAAAAAACCGGAAATGGAAAAAAGATCCGAGTCCAGCCCAACAGAAAACGAAAGTGTGGTAGTGGAAGCCGTCAGGTTGTATCAAAAGGGCGACCAGTACAACTTCAAGAACCCACCTCCAAGAGGAAGCGCAGCCATGACTTGGCTAAAGCAGTACAAACAAACACTAAAAGTAGTAAGAAGTCTGGGTCCCATACTATGAAATCCAAGACAAAGCACATGCAAAGGAAAAAATAGGAAAACAGAGAAATCTTAGTGAATAAACAATGGAATGTTCGCATAATGTTTAACATAGAGGGAAATTCACTTAAGGCAAATTGCCTAGATTAAAAACCTCTCTCCTTGGATCTGCCCCTGAACAACAAGGTTATTAAAAAGATTGAGGTTTTGACATTGTAAATAAGTTTTAATTCATTTTTCCTGTTAAAGTCTAACACAACATTTGTAATGATTTAAAATTTGGTTTCAACAGTAACATGATGTACATGTGCTGCAATGACCACAATTAATTTCAAAAATCGATAATAATAATAATAATAATAATTTTAAAACAAAAACAATTATGTATTATAGATTGATCCAATAGTCCTTTCAAATCATCTCCAATTAAAATCACTAAATGCAGGATACGTTAACTAAACATGTGACTTTTGGTGTCTTATAAGATTTCGTTTCTCAGCAAAAGTCTTTTGACAATGATCACACTTGTAGCTGTCTTTATGTTTCTTGTCTTTATGCCTTTTTAGCTTTTGCTCATGGTCAAACGATTCATTGCATTCCTCGCAAATGCACTCATGACAACCTTTCTGGTGGTATTTAAAGTCCTTCTCCCTTGTGAACTGGGTGCTGCAGGTTGGACATTTTTTTATCTCTGCTATTCCCATATCAAGGTCTTCCCTCAAGCTCTGTGCTTTATCTTTCCAGTCCTATGAAGATCATAGCATGATATTTTAAAAGAGGGTAAATATATTAGGGAACAATCGTGTATTTATGATCCCCCCTATTTTTATATAAACTAGATTGCAAAGACAGTTTTTTTCACCCTCTATCATAATTTTTTGAGGATAATACCCCCTTGCCCCCCCCCCCCCCTTCCCCCGTTTCCTCAAAACCTGCATCCGCCACATGTAGGTTATTTCTAATTAAAATTTAGGGTAAATTAATTGGTACATTATAATGGGCCATGCTATCCCCTAGGTATATTTTAGAGTTCTTTCTGGAAAAATAACAAGTCTGAACATTATATTACAAAATTGACATTCAGCTTGAGGTCCCAGCTTGATTCAAGATCAACATTCATAACCTAAAATACTTTTAATTGGAAAGTTTGACGAGAACATTTACACTCTCGGTCCTTACAAAGTTAGCCATGTAAACCACATAGCAGTCCACTGAAATGGGGCAGGGTTAATACACAAACACTCGCAATGTTAGAAGTTTATAACTAACCTTTCGTCTGTCTGTCGGCAATTTCTTCCACATATTGCCAACCACTTTGGAAACCTGCCCGATTCCTGCCCCCTTTCCAAGTTGTTCCTTGACATCTGGCTGTGGAATGATACAAAGAACGAGGAAACTATATCAGCTTATATCGAATGTAATTTCAAGGCCTACAAGAATAACGAATATAAGTGCAACACTTATAGATAACATATTTGTTAATGACATAAACGAAAATTTTACATGCGGTTTATTTTTCACTGATATTTCTGATGACTTAATCTTAATCACTTGTAATCGGATGTAAAGGATGAACAAGCACTTTATCCAGGCTGAAAATGATTGAATATTTCGGGAAATACAAAACAAACTCACCGCAACTGACTGCATAAAGGAGTTCCACCCCGTTGGCTTCTTAATTGATTTTTGTTTTGTTTCTGCACAAGAAGAATGGGTTGCTTCTGGTTCAGCTGGTTCAGCTGGCTCAACTCTCGCGCACGTGGATTGCTCCGCCATCTTGTAAACAACACTGCCCGGAAGTGACGTCCGAGCGTGCCAACCGCGTACGAACTATTCACGAGGGCTGTCGTCTGCTCGGCTAGTTTTCGAAATGGCATCGACCGTTTCAAATGGCAACGACCGTTCTGAGAAATGGCATCGACCGTTTCAAATGGCAACGACCGTTTACGAAAGGGAAATTTGCTTCGGCAACACTTGCATGCTCGCCTCAGTCAGGTAAAGAGAATCGAAGCCAAATTTTCCAGCCGTTTTGAACATTTTCTGGTCTATAAATCTGCCGTTAGCCTTGGCTTTGTTCACCATTTCCACTGTTAAGTACTGATATGTCATGGGGCACGAGCCCTTGACCTTGATAAATAAATAGACGGCCAAAAATTTGCTAGCAAAAGATAAATCTATTGGCAAAACAGCACCCGGTTTTTCCTTGCATGATTTCAGCACGCTAGTGTGGAAAGTAGCGCCCCACCACTTCCAACAGTTCTTCCAGTGTGGCCCAGTTCCCCTTGGCTTCTAAGGCATCGATGTCCAGCTCGCTGGTCCACTGCAAGCGCATCATTTTGGAAACAGTTTTGCGCACCTTTTTCAAGTAAATTTCTGTTGAACCCAGTCCTCTCAACACTGATTCCGATGCCTCGTCCCGCGTGTCCCAGATTCCAATCATCCTGCATGGTATCAACAAACTTGAAAAGGAGATTCGGTGAACACAAACTAAAGTCCACAATGTCAAATGTGCGCTCCTCTTCGTCTTCACAACAAGATTTGAGAAACTTTAAGCACTTGCTCACGATCTGTTGTGCTTGTCGATCACTTTTACAGCCCCTACCACTGCCAGTTAGCCATGAAAAAAAGGTCTTGGCAATTTTGTTTGTAGGATCAAAAGAGGCAATTGCCCTGCTTTTACGCGGTGTAATCTTCTGATCATTGGCTTCGTAGTTGTTGTTTTGATCGACATGAAGCGAATCGATTTGAGCACTGTCTGGCTTCTCGTCGAAGTAATAGTACCAACTGTGTTTGTTCTTTACGTGTTTTCTACAGCCTCTTTGTGTAGTGAATCCATCGTGCTTAGAAATTTGCACTGGGCAGTGAAAACGACCATCACAGTCATCCTCTTCTAACTGAAGTCTCTTTGGTTTAGGCGGCATTTGCTAACTTTGACCAGTTGACAAACTTGCCTCGTTTGTTCATCTTAAGCATTAGCTTGAAATCGATATCTTTCTAGAGTATGCATGCACTTATACTAGCAAAGGATCCCCAAGAGATCATCGTATTCGCCAATGAAATATTTGTTAGCTCATCTCTGCCAACACTTAGTCATTCTTGCCCCTTGCCCCATTGTTTTCTTGTCCGTATTTGGTACACAATTAATCAAAAGGAACAAAGACACAAGCCTGAACTTGCGCGGGCAAGCCCAAACGAGATTAAGCACGCAGCGGGCAAGTCTCGTACTTAACTTGATTGTTGACGGATACATGTTTTGATAAATTTGTATAGTGGAGGTGATGGACAGTAGTTTTAGATAGCCTACGATAAATAGGAACTATTGTTCCGTATTCCTTTTTACACTTTGCGCAAAATGGAACAATAGTTCCTTTGTCACAAATTCGGAACCTGTTCCATTTATACGGGGAACATAACACTCATCTTGAGGAACAAAAAACCACCACGATTAGGAACAATTCCATTCCTGTTAGGCATGAATAGGAACAATTTGAACCGAAAAGGAACATGGCGTTCCGAACAGCAGTGGTTATGCCAGTAAATAGGAACAATTTGTTCCTTACTGTGTAGAGCGAGAATTTGTTCCCCAGTCACTTCGAAAGGAACATGAAGGGAAATCGGAACCGTTGAAAGAGGACCTTTTGTTCCTGAAAGGATAAAAGAGGAACCAGTTGTTCCTTTTGACTAAAACGAAAAGGAACTTTGTGTTCCAATTTGCTGCTATCGGACCAGATTGTTCCGAAATTTGCCGACCTTTGTTCCTATTGTGCAAATAAAGTTCCTTTATTGTGCGTTCCTAGGTTGTTCCTCAAGCAATTAAAGGAACAAAAAGCAAAAACGCGCGGAACACTACGTTTTTGAAAAAGAGATGTTTCCCCGTGTTGCGTCACTTAAAATCAAACTTTGAAAGTTTCCTCATGTAAAAAACGGCCTGACAGTACTTAGGACAAAAATGCAATTGAAAACTACGGTGTTTTA